TGGGAGGTATGTGCAATATTTTTGAGGAATATTCCAGCTAAGAATGTGGGTTGAATTTGGGAGTGAGAAAAAATGAAGAAATCTAATTTGCACCTCTACACTGATAGTTCTGGGGGTTATTTTGGACGGCTTCATAGAAGACGATATTAAATACTTTTTAAGAAATTTGTAAACGGAAAAATTAAGAAAAAAATGATTCTGGTCGAACTTAGTTCTATTAGGTTGATGCAAGAATAATGGCCGATTTCCCAAGCCTTTTTTCAGGGCAACTTTTTTCCATCTAAGTATCTTCTTTGATATATATATATATATATTATACCGTTAAGAAGGTATTTTCATGCTCTACTTAATAGTCGTTACAACTGGCTTTTAACCTCATCTGTTATAAAGTTACTGAGCTTTAAATAACCGCGTCCAAGTTCAGAATTTTGTTGCATTCATTTTTCTGGCCTGAATTTGAGCGGTACCAGCATTTCTTTGAGAATTTAGCTATTGTAAGTAATAGAAATTGCCTACATCATGCATACTTTACTTCATTTTTTGAAGTTATCAAAATTGAGATGTCGGTGCCTCAACATGGATAGCCGTTGCGGTCATTTCATGACCCATAAATTTCTTTTGAAGAGGTCAATCGCCGAAGCTTTGTACAATTCTGTGAGCATTATGCTAGCGCATCTAGCAATTTTTGCAAAAACATTTAGCTGTTCAGTACGCAGAAAAACAGAAAAATCTATATTGGGACTTTAAGGCATACTGAAAAAAAGTTGAAAAAACTGACAATTTTGAATTTCTATTTTTTCCTTTGCACAATTTTTTCTCTTCAAACCCCTTTTGTCGTGTTTTGTACTATTGGCTTGCGGCTACAAGACAGACCACTTATCATTCATACTAACAAAATTTGAAGAAAGTCATGATTTATAAGACGAGTTTTCAGGAGAAAAAAAAACTTTTTTTTTGTTTTACAATCCATATTTTTCTGTCCATTATGATACTGGTGCAAGTAAATTGCGCTGTACTGCAAAAAGTTTGCAGCTTCTGATGATCTTTACCGCATTCGGAAATGTGGATCCTCCAAAAAGGTTTAGCATGTTAAAGTGAGAATTTCCAAAATGGCCGTTATTTTCGCATCAACCTAATATTTATCTTTGTCATTGTTTGGCACCAAGGATAGTAAAGGTGTTCAAAATTATCGCTGTCACAATGTCCTTGGACAAACTACTGCGTATTTCTTCTGCAAAATTTAGCAGAAAAATTTAGAAAGTATAACTTGACAATCTCCATGAAAATTTCGAAAAATTTAGTAAAAGCAAGGAATCATGCCTGAAGAAGCTAGCAAAGTAGTAGTAATAAACCCATTTTGTATTTTTTTGAAAGCTCTCAACACAGAGGTACCTTTTTGAATATCTTGCTATATATTAGGTTGGTCTGAAAGTTCTTGCGCATCATTTTCAAAAAATCATAACTTCCTCGCCATTTAGTGGATTTCGTTGAAATTATACATATCGAAAGAGGAATCCATGCTCTTTACAGCAGTGCCTCAGCCATGGATTACTTTGAGAAACTTCGAGAGTTACAAGCAGTTGAATGAAATCAGTCAAGATTGGCATTTTTCGAGCTGAGTGACAAAAAATTCTGGAAGTGTTTTTATTTGATAGAGAAAGTTTTGCGCATTACAGTGGTACCTTTCCCATGAATTAAAACAAAAAAGATCGAGAGTTAGGAGCAAATAAAAAGAATTGCTTCAGTTTTGCAATATTTGAGCATGCTCAAAAAAGCCTAGAAACGTCACAGAAAAGGCGGAAAGGTCATGAACATGGGTTTTGCGACCTTTTCTTTCTAGCTGAGCAAAAATCGTGTCAATCTAGAGCAATTTTGTTTTTCGTGATTTTTTCGGATTTTCGAGTCTGCGTTTTTCACGAAAATCAAAATTGCTCTCGATTAGCAGGATTTTCACTCAGCTAGAAAGAGAAGGTCACAAAACCCATGTTAATGACTTTCCGTCTTTTCTGTAACGTTTCTAGGCTTTTTTAAGCGTGCTCAAAAATTGCAAAACTGAAACAAATTTCTTTAGTTGCTCCTAACTCTCGATCTTTTTCGTTTTAATTCATGGGAAAGGTACCACTATAATGTGCAAAATTTTCTCTATCAAATAAAAATACTTCCAGAATTTTTTGTGATCCAGCTCGAAAAATGCCAATCTTGACTGATTTCATTCAACTGCTTGTAACTCTCGAAGTTTCTCAAAGTAATCCATGGCTGAGGAACTGCTGTAAAGAGCATGGATTCCTCTTTCGAATATGTATAATTTCAACGAAATCCATTGAATGGCGAGGAAGTTATAGTTTTTTGAAAATGATGCGCAAGAACTTTCGGACCAACCTAATATTTATTACACTTATTATATGAATTTTCAGCATACAGCACCACTGTGGAATAGGCCTTTTGATGGAAAAAGTTCCAAAAAATCAGTTTTTCGAGGTTCCTAATGGTTTAATTGGACTTCTGACGAACATTAAAAAATATTATAATATGAATTAAAATAACAAATTTAAAAAAAAATAAAAAAATAAAAATAAAAATAAAAATAAAAATAATACAAAAAATAAAAAATGAAAAATAAAAATAAAAAAATAAAAATAAAAAAATAAAAAATAGTAATTTGAATAAATAAGTAAAAATTAAATATTATAACATTAAAAAATATTACATGATTTTTTTATCGTCTTCAACATCTTCGCAATGGGGTCGGGCCTACCTCAGAGTTATTCCCACATCCTCCCTCTTTTTCCCACCCCTCTTCCACGTTCACTTCCCCCCTCTCCTCTCCCTTCTCCTCTTCCCACATTTGTATACGAAAAATAGACGTTTGCATGTGTGTGCGGAGGCGCTGTTTGTGCCACGTTGAAACTTAATACGCGAATTGAAATGAGTCAATAGGGGCGAATGTATGACATGTGAGAGCACATCATACATCAATTAGCATAAATTAGTAGCCGAATCGAGTGCCAAACGATGGGGCCGGCGGGCGCAAAGTTGAGGAGCGAAAATGAGCTACCTGTTATAAAAAATTATCCTGAGAAAGTTGGAGATCCTGTTTTTTTTTTGTTGCATTCGAAGTAGGGAACGAACTTAGGGATGTCTTTACATTTGGATGATTTGAACAAAAAGGGAATGGTATAATAGGAAACGGCCAATTTGCACGACAGTATCCTACGATCACCCGGCGCGCATGACCGCGACGCGTCGCGCACGCGCTAATCTCCCTTCCCGCCACGGCGTGCGTCGCGCGTGACTGCGGTCCTGATGGAAGTGTCATGTTGGCGGTACGGTAGTGCAAAACGGCCTACCCTTTGACTCAATCATCTAGGAACAGCTATCGTTACGATAATTTGTTAGATGCATCACCATTTATATTATTTTCTTCATGTGTGTTTCTGAAATTTCTGGAATATCGGTGTATATGCTTAACTGATTATGATTCGTGACCATTTTATCGTGCTCAAATGATTTGAATAAAGAATTGGAATAATTATCACAGAGTCTTGTATCAATCTGTCTCGCTTTTCAGCGCAGCCTACTACTTGATGCTCTATCACACTGATTTTTCTGAAAATTTAGGATTGTAGCTATTTGGAAATTCTTATGTTAGACTTATCAAGTTCACCACTCAATTTATCGATTTCGAGTATTCAAAACGAACTCCGATGAGTAAGACGTCTTCTTCGTATTCGATGAATCTTGAGATATAGGATAGTCGAATTCAAAATGATGGATTCCATTCAGTAATTCTAGCGCTTTAGCTAAGCATCTTCTTTATGCTTCTCTTTTCTCTCCCGTCTTTACATCTTCTCACAACAGAAAGACTATGAGAACTGTGAGAAAATAATTACTAACTTGGAGACAATTAGAAAAATGGTCTCACAAGCTACAAATTTGACAAGAAGAAAGTTTATGCTCTACTACGAGAAAAGTATCGTTTGATGTTTGGAAAGTAATCTACGATAAATAAAGTGCCCCCCCCCCTCTTCTTCCCCTCCCCTCCTCGGTGTCGGCAACACTTGCGCGTAAGAAATGATGAATCATAGAGCGCACCAATTTGCGACCCAAGACTACTTTATACGCGCAAATGTTGCGCAAATGTTGTTAACACAACAGGGACATTACACCACCATACCTTCTAACCTTTGATTCAACTGATTTGGCGGCTGGAAGGCGGGGCTTTGTGACCTAGTTAAGGCCGCCCGCGCCGGCGAGCCTCTCTCGCGGGCAGTCCGCGTCTCTCTCGCGCGCATGCTCTCTGATCATACTTTAGCATGATCAGGTCACAAGCCCCGCTTTCCAGCCGTCAATCCAGTTGAATCAAAGGTTAGGTATGGTGGTGTAATGTCCGTGCGGTGTTTACAACGTCTGCGCGTATAAACTAGCTTGGGTCGCCAATCTACCAAATGTGTGCTCTATGGCCATTTCTTGCGCGCAAAAGTTACATGAGCTGTATTCATGCCCATTAATATCAGCGCATGTGGAGAATATGCAAAATTCGACAACCTGGAACACAACGAAAAGTGAATCGCGAACTATAAAATCTCTTTATTCTTTAGAAGAATAAAAAACAACAATGCTGCATCAATGAAGAGATCAAGATTTTTGCGTACACCGGTAAACAAATGATAATCAGATGAAAGACATGATTAATCAAGACAAGAAATTGAAGCACGTTTTTGAATTTGCATAGGACAAAGATGAAATAGTTTTCTTTATTAGTTTAGCTGCTTTTTTGTAATACTCTGAGCTAAGTTTCACAGCTGGATGTATTAGACAAGAAAAAAACAGAAAGTAACCCGAAATAAATTATCTCTGGAATAATGAGGTCTTCTGAGAGAAAATTATCTGAATTTGGCGCAAACTTATACATTTCGAAATTACAAAAATCACAATTTTTGCTGTCCAATGAATGGCTGTCAACTCCAAGCTCCGCCCCTTTCAGAGTATGCGAGCTGTTTCTAGAGGAGATAAATCAACAGTGAGATCATCAATGCGACATGTAAAAATCGTTGTTGGTCCGGAGAAAAATTGAGCGCTAATAGCATATCTTGATCATTGCAGTGATTGCCAACACATGAGCACATTGTCACCTGAAAAGGAGATGATTGGATGCACAATATCCGAGCTACAGTAATCCGAAAGTATGAGCAACCCTTCAAGGAACAAATAATCTAAGCAAATCCGCAAATCGGTTTTGCGGATTTGATTATTGAAACCTTTTTGTGACTTTATAAAATGTTGTGAATGTATAATACATAGCTGCACCAGCAGCTTACTTACTATTGAAGATATTTTCTTATCTCCTCTAGTAGAACAGTTTCTTTTCTGGAAACTGTCGTAAGTTAGCTTATATGATCCTGATCAAGTAGGCTTATGCAACCTTTTTCCGTGTGTTTTGTTAGCATATAAATTAGTATTTTTCGAATATACTACGATTTATTGTCCTATCAATTTTCTCTTTTCAGCAAGTCTTTATTTGAGACTTCTGTGTGAATGTAAGCTCGGATTGTTTATGATTGATTGAAATAAAAAAGAATAAGCCTATTTCCAGTTGACCCATAATATTAGAAAAAGTTTTGTGATTTTTGAGATATTTTTGACTCTCGTAAAATATTCACGAAATGTAAAAACAATTATTTCTCTTAGTAGACATCACATTTGGCAAAATTCCAAAATTATGACTGGAATGCAACTTTGCAAGTTTTTGCATCCATTGACACACAGTCGAATCATTTCATATGATCATGTGTGTTATTGCACACACTGTCCACCCTTGGCGTTCCCACCCTGGATTTACAGTCGCAAAAACGTAAGAAACTGACCAATTGCTATCCCTCGCATGAATTTGTGGAGACTAGTACCTAGAAAGAAAAGAAAACATAAAGAAAGCATCGAAAACACTTATCTGAGGGAGTGCCCTACTCCTAGAATCCAGGATAGGGACGCCAAAGGTGGACAGTGCATGCAATAACACACATGATCATATGAAATGATTCGACTGTACGTCACTATCGTAACTTCTCCTCCCTTATCTCTCCCTCCCCCCCCCCCCCTCCCCGCTTTATCAAGAAAGAAGTATGCTGGTCTTTTCATCCAATCAATGCAACCCAAATACTTCTGAAACTAAACCTTTCTCTAATGGTTTCACTTTTGACGGCATTGTTCCTCTCCAAGGCAAAACGAAGGAGAAGAAATATCTACCCTTCTCCCTCTCCTTCGTATATCACCCGCGTGGTTTATTCGATATTTCAGATTGAAACACAGCCCAGTTGTTCCGCATCAAGTATGAATGCGTTCGTGCATTTTAAAAGAATCAAATGCGAAACGATCTGGGGCTAGATGGTGCGTGGATATGAGAGATTTTTGAGAGCTAGCGCTATTGAGAAGGAAAACCCAAAAGCATAGGGGAACACAAACACAAATATTATGTGTATTGCAATGCAAGAATTATCGTTGGTAGAAAAGAGAGTTTTGTGAGTTGGAGTTTTTTTTCAATAAATTGAATTATGATGAACGAAAATGACTGCATGTTACGATTACGAATTCCGGAATTAAAAGATTCGGCAAAAATGCAATATCGCAATCGGTGGATGATATTTGGAGGTTCTAGAATCTGGAAAATTCTGGAAATCAATTAAATCGGTATTTTGGTGAGCAAACCGAAAATCTCAGAAATTCGAAAGTCGTTATTCTGAACGTTGCCAGATCTCGAAAGTTGATTTACAAAATCAACAAAATCCTATCTATTAATGTGTTGAAACGTGAAATCGAAACTAGACAAAATTATTGTTGAAGAAGCAAAACGCTATAAAAATCGTTACGTGGAGCTTTATTTTCTTAATATAAAAAACGAATTTATATTGATATCGATCCATAATCATCTCAGTGAATTCCAAGCAGGGCTCGGCACGAAGTGGCTAGTTGAAAATGCAAAAAAGAAGTCCCCCTTGATTTTTTCGGATTTTACGAAGTCCCCTTTGACCCCCCCCCCCCCACCAAAATCCCTAAAAAATCTCTAAAAAACGAAACGTCGACCAAAAAAGTCGCAATTTTTGTGTCTTTTCGGTCTCAAAAACGAAACCCCCTTCGGTTTTCGTCCAAAAACGATATGCAGCTTGCTTACAAGTCACCTGTGCCGAGCCCTGATTCCAAGCAGGACGATATATCCATCTCCGCCCTCCCCACTCCAAAAAAATAAATTGTAGACGTTTCTAGATTATTCCCGTTTCACCCTGTAAGCGGTAAGGAAGCAGTAAATAATGTTGATTAGTGATGTTCATTAGGACAATGCCCGAACGTATTCATCATTTGCTTTTTTTAAGTTAGTGCGTGAATGTTCATAGATGAAATAGCTGCAGAATTTGCAATATATGAAAATTTTGTGGGGCGGAAAACAATGTAGATTTGAAGTCTTGGATTTAGGAAATTGTTTGATCGCGCCAGGACCTGATGTTCCGCCAATCACGAACTAACGCCGACAAATACGCCCTCGCGGACAGCTGCCACAAACCATGCATATTCAAATATCTTGGTCTGTACTAGTTGTCTATCTCGACTAACCTATTGCTAATCCTTTGCTCACTAACAATCGAAAAAATGAAATCCTTTGAGGCTATACAGCCAGTAATTTTCCACTTACCACGTCACTGTCGCCACTCAATGGGTAAAGGCGCAGAATTTTTCGATTCGTTTCTCGACACACGGGTTGGTTCGTGTATGCGGACAATACGCTTCTAACGTCGTCATCTAGACCGAATAATAGTAATCGGTCCACGCATCCGCGCAGCACTCCGCGTTGCTCCGTGAAAACTGAAAAAATCGATAATCGATTGGGGATGTGATTCTCCACTAGAAGTATAGGGCGTGTCTCAATGTTGCTACTTGAGTAGTTTGTGATAGCATTATTTGAAGCTGAGAAAATCATTTTTCAGTGAATTGCTGGTTCAGAAAAAGAAACAAATTTAGAAAAATAGGAATAATAAGGAAGGTTATCACCTCATCATTCAATTATATCTCTAATCATTACTCCTGATTGTGGAAAACTTCAATTTTTTTTCATTCCGATTTCCGCTAATGTTCGGTTAGCCTACAATTTTTGTCTTGAAATATGACATAATACGAATATTAAAATAAGCTAATGTTTTTTCCTTTTCCTCCCTCCTTCATTAGTAGATTTTTTATATTTGTCAAGCTTCCAGTTGTAATATCGGATGTTCATTTTTTTTTCGTACCAGGTAGTGCTTTCAAAATTAATTTTGTCGCTGTGAACATCATAAACCCTGACCCAATGCTGCGATAATTGATGTGATTTGTAATCGGTTTGAAAACTCGTATACATCATAAATTGACGTAAACGGCGAACGCCAATGCCCATTTCTTTGTTTTCAAAGAAAGCCTAGAGTAGTCCACATTTTGATTTCTGGGCTAGATCTTCAGAAGCCCACTAAGCTGAAAAAGAACTTGTGATCTACTGACTTTACAGAAAAGTGATTCACAAAGCAATTTTGAATGTTCGGGTTTTCACTATAAGGTCTCTCTGTCTTCAAGCTGTAAAAAATGTCTCAAACAAGGAGTTTTTGAACATTGCTGTAGACTTATTGACAAACTCTTGAATATTGCATGTTTTCAAGAAGGAAATCATAACAGGATGAACCTTAAGTATGCAAAAAATACTCATAGTATTCTTGCGAAACAGCTTCTTTTGTAATGATACGAGAAAAGTGTAAAAATACAGGGTGTCCCAAAAAGATGTGCACACTGTTTGATTGTTAATAACTTTCTTGCTTTCATGTCTTTTGCCGAACTTGAGGTACCATTCTGTAGAGCGAGGATAAACTTAGATTTACAGTATGGAGGGACTTACCAGCCGCTTTTCATTACTGTAGAATTACGGTAGGAATTTCAAGGAGGATTTTCAGCAAAGGAAAGCTGTATTTTGCCTCAGAAAAAAGCCAAATAAGCCAGAAACTCTTGAATCGGGTTAATCATAGTCGCTGATTCTAAATATGAAAACTGCACGTCAGTACAATGTTTCTTTCATGAGTTAATTCAAATTTAGGGTAACAAATGATTTTCCAGTGTTCAGCAGAAATGTGAATACGCCATCAAGAAAGCTCGAAAAACTGATGGAAAGTTATGTAGTGAAATCAGCACGCCTGAAAACCTTGCCACACAATTTTTTAGATTTTTTTGAAATTATTTCATTAAAAGTCTTATCCCACAGTGATGCTGTATGCTGAAAGTTCATACCGTAATCCTACAGTAGCAAAAAGAGATTGGAGTTTCGCTTAATACTGTAAATCTAAGTTTATCCTCGCTCTACAAAATGATACTTCAAGCTCGGCAAAAGACATGAAAGCAAGAGAGTTATTAACGATCAAACAGTGTGCACATCTTTTTGGGACACTCTGTATACTTAAGAGCTTTGGTGAATTTTTGAAAGTCAAAGGAGAGTTCAGATTTTTTCTGGAAAACTCACCTAGATGTTATCTTTGATTCCACAGCAAAACATCTTATGCAACTATTATATTTCGGTAAAAATTTGCGAGAAATTGCGAGTTTTTAGACACATTGCTCGCGCTACCTTTTTTAAACAGATAATGATGGCTTGCGAATGTGAATTTTGGTTCGTTAGTAGACTGAATAAAAAAAAATTAGACCTCAATGTCGTTATTTTCGGCAACAAATACTTATCATCAAATCTTGCTGAGGACTACTGTAAAAAAACATAATTCCTTTTCATTACGAGCACAGCCAGGGTTATTGAAAATGAAAGTCGTGAAAGTTTGCAGCGAGGAATTTTCCATCTAAAAGCCAAAAATCACCTTCATTTTCAAATAGTGATTCAGTTAACACCATCACTAATTTATTTGACACCATTTTTTCCACCTGTAGAAGTCTGATCAGCAGCTAGCGAGACCCAATTGTAGTGTTACTGTTCATACTTTGTATTTGTGTTTTTGGTCTTTTTTTATGACGCATCTTGAATGCATATAATAGATAAATAAGTAAATAAATAAATAAATTTTCCAAGCAAAACTCGAGGAAAAACCGGGCTAGTCATCTCCATCATCCCCTTAGTACCCTGCCACAAACTTCGACCCCTGAGCACATTCAGTCGTAACCGGTGCAGTGTATGTAGTTAAAATGTAATTGCACCATTTCGCTCCATCCAAAAAAAGTTCGTTTCAAAACCCGGCCAGCCAACAATTGCAGGAAGTACGTCGAGCTGTGCACGGTGGAAGTTGTTGAGAGCGTTTTGAATCTTAGAAATGATTGTTTTTGGAAAGACCACTGCTGCGATTAGTATGGTAGTATGCAGCGGGGGCAGGAAAGAGGGGGGCGGTGGAAGAGTTTGGAGAGAGAGGGGGGGGGATTCTCTGGGTGGAGTTTGAACTCTTACGATTTTTCAGTATGGAGTTTTTGTAGTGCACACTTGGTTGCTTTTTTCATTAACCTAAACAAATTTTCCCTCCAAAATCAATTTGCAGCTCGCGTTTCATATGTGCATTTGCGTACAATTTTTCTTTGCTTTTTGCTGATGCTGAGAATTTCATTTTATGGTCATATGTGGTGGATAAGTTGCTAGGTAACGAAGAATATCAATTTTGGTTACTCCACATTGCGTTTTTTTCGGAAGTTTACGAGAGATTATTCATAAAAGTAATGTCCTGGCAAATCTGGATAATTAGCCTTTTATGTTGCTTAGGAAGGGTTTGATCCAAACTGCTTAAGCGGAAGCTCGTAAGATTCATTAGTTAGCGAGAAATCTAACTCTAAACTTTCGTCCAGTACCGTGATCGCAACCTACAAGGTACGATACTGGGCGAGAATTTGAGGTCAATTTGCTCGTTCACAAATGATCATATGAGGTGCCGCTTGGGCAAGTGGTCCTTGTTTCTTTCTCTTTTATGCCCCCCCCCCCTCATTCCCCCTTAGGAGTGAATTTTCAGTATATATGCATGGAAGTGAAAACGAATACACTTTGTGCTGCCGATTAATGACGATAACGACTGGTGGGCACGCATTTCGACTACGACGAAGCAGAACGACGTTGCTTAGCTGCTGAATTGCTCTATGTGAAGTTTTTTTTTTGCTGGAAATACTGATTTAAATTTGAGGTGACAGGGATAGGTATGTTTTAAATAGGACAAAATGCTATTAATGTGCACACTAGTCACAAATTAAGGGCGCAGATTCTCAGCAATGGGCTAGGATCGATTATGCGTTATCGAAATTTTGAAATTTTTTTCGATCCTACCAGCTGACCTTTTTGGCAGTTAGTTGCTTTTATCAATTTCCGGAGCTCTTCAAGGCATGTCCAGGCAAAGGCGGGTATTTTTTTGATGGAGACTGATCGGGAGTCCCTATCTAATCCATTGCTCAAAGAGAGCTCTGCTTCTTGCGCCTAGAATTTCAACTTCAAACATTCGCCCAGCACCGTAATCTTTCTGAATGAGCCAATCAGTGGCTTTGAGTATGGTACCGGGATTTGGAGTTGGACTTCTCGGCCACTAATGAAGTCTAAAATCTGCTTATCACTCACAAGAAAATTCGGAACCCTATTTGTTTTATGTGGGTAGAGGAACGAACACCTCAATTTGGCACCGCCTCCGCGGACTACTGGCCTACTGGTCCTAACACGATATAGAAGAGTGAGGCGAAAGGACGGAGGGCAAGCGTTAGGCGACAAAACGTGCAAAATGCAAGCAACGTAAATCCCGTAACTCAAAACTATGCACCATTTTTTCATTGGCGTCGGGTAATGTATCGGCCCCGACTCCCAACCCCTGTTTTTGGCGGAGGAGACGTTTTGCACAGGGAGTTCTTTGGAGTCCAAAAAATTGGGTTTGCCGCTTAGCGCCCTACACCCCGAAAGGACCAGCAGTCCTCGAAGGCGGTGCCAAATTGAGGTGTTCGTTCCTCTAGCCGTTTTATGTGATTGACATTGCAAGAAACTGATGTGAACGAAAGTGCAAGAATTTTCTGTAGCATAGATTTATTTCAAGGGTTTTCACTAAAAATTCTAATAAAGCTTAATCATTGGAAAGTCGATGTATGTACACTCCCAAGCTTTACATTTAATTTTGGATTCTAATCATGGTCTAATATTCCCTCCCTTACATTTTTTTTTAAATTTCATGGCCCCCAACATTTTCCCGATTCCATCCCGTCCTCAAACCTTTTTTTTTGCGCGTATTTTATTTTGAATTTTTTTGCAGCTTCGACAAAGTACCCATTGCCCCCGATACGCTTGAAGTAATTTATAGCTTACTAGCTCAATAACTCAGTCAAAAGCCGACGACATCGATGCTAATTGTGAATAATCAGCCCCCTGGGCTTGACTAATTAATTCATAGCTTCTACGAGCGCTCAGCTATTATCAGCGCCAATGAGAGAATATTGACACTTGACGAGATGAAATTAGTTTAGTAGTGAATGTTTAGTTTTGTAGGCAAGAAATATGCAGAAGTTGTAGTAATTTTCAGCTACAAAGCGCCTGACGACAATGTATCGAGAAAAATCGATAAACTGCGTCGTTCAGGTGCGTGGAAGAGCTTTTGAAATTAGATTAAGCAAGCTTGTTCGATAAAAAATTCAGCTTTTCTCAAAAGCAGGCAGAATGAGCACCTTTTTAGCTACTATTTAGCAGATTTTTCTTTTTTCAACCCCCCCCCCCCTTTCCCCTCTCTTTCCACAACAAAAATTGCGGGTTTCTAGCATGCGAAGACAAGTGAAGACTTATGAATACACGTGTTTGACGCGCTCCAGTGCGTTTGAACAAGATAACAACACTGGCATCGTCAGAATGCTTGGATGAATTATTTTCTGGAAAATAAAGTATGGCAGTAGTGGGTCCTAGCGAGATTGCATGGGTACTGTAGTAGTACGGTAGCGTAACTGTGATATACATCGTATTTGGAAAAACAGCGATTTTATAGGCATCCAAATAGGGGTAATGTCCTACCCTACCCCTTAATCCCATGAACATTTACTAACCGTTGTCGTCTAGTGCAATTACTGGGCATGCACATAAAACGCAAGCATGGCAATAATTCAAATTCAACCCAGGTTGCGTGTACCCTGGTCGGCGGGTAATTTATCCAGTAGTCGTTTGGATACTGCTGGCTGAGCAGCTATGTCACTCAACAACGCTATTAATGAATGCCGTGCTTGATGAATGAAACTTGTGGCGGAATTGATCGATAACTATGAATTATGTTGGAATTTTAGAATTCTGCTAGCAAAGCATTTTTGATGGAGGATATTTACAAAACAAGCAAAAGAATGCAAAAAAATTACCGTTTTTTTCGCTCTTCCAGCTGTTGGGCATCGATTATCGATTGATTGGCCGTGTAGCAAAAATTGTTTGCGGAGCGCGCTTTTTCATGTCTGACTCATTCAAACAAAACATCATCACGCTAATGCAGCCAGCACAAGTCAATTAGTTTCAATGACAAATGCAAGCAGTTGAAGGGTGATGAAGAGGAGGGGTAAAAGCGACTGTGGAGAGGCAAAAGATGCGAACTGCTAGGGTGAAATTGGTTTTTGGTAGAAAATTATTAGTTTGCTTGGAAATCTCTAGATTTGATTGTTATCGTAGTGCTTGAATTCACAAAAGGCGAAAAACAAATGTGGAGAACCAAACAATGCGAGCTGGCTTCTTTGCTCAAAACCACATTGTCTGTTTCTCTACATCGAGAAAATTCAAGAAAATCATTAAAATCAATAGTATGTGACTGAAAACTTTACTTGTGATCATAAGGACTCGCAACCCTCGTTTTCAAAAAAAAAACCGGTTTGGAGAACAGTGCGAGTCGCCAGGACCTTTCTTTTGAACGGCTCGAGAAAGTCAATAAAATGAATAAATTGCGACCTGTGCTTGTAATCGATAATGTAATACTCGACATAGAACTGGTTATTCGGTAGCCTTCCTGACAAAATAAGCAATTCATTACCTGGCTCACAAAATATTTTTTCTAGTTTTTGAATTCTTCCAACTTGTAACTTCTCTGTATCAACTTCAAAACCCTTGATTCAACTAGTTTGGAAGGTGGGGCTTTGTGACCTAATCGAGACCGCTCGCATCCGCGACGCAGTCTGCATCTCTGTGGCGCGCTTGCTCTCTTAATATTATCTAGCTATTAGGTCACGAAGCCCCGCCTTCCAGCCGCCAAGCCAGTTAAATCAAATGGTACGTGATGTCCCAAAAAGATGTATCAAACGTTTGATATTATATAATTTCCTTGTCATAAAGTCTTCAAAGAAGCTCCAGCACCGCTTTGTAGAGCTGGCTTCAATTCAGATGTTGGAGAAAATTACCGATTGCTCTTCGTTACTGTAGGATTACGGTAGGAATTTCCGGCATACGTCACTGTGGAGTGCTAAATTTTGAATAATTCTGCAAAAAATCTGAAAACTTGTGTGATAGGGTTTTCGTGGACGCTGAATTCGATATTCAGTCTTGTGCAAAAGTGTGAAGCTTTGCAAAATCCACTTTTCTGTGAACTCGAAAAAATGATACTGCTTACCTGGCTTGATTTTTTTACGAAGCATAACGTTTAAGACGCGAAGTGTATATTTAAAGTCAGCAATTCTAATTAGCCTATTGTTGAAGTTTTCTAGCGTATTGTTTTTTTTTGATGCAAAATATGGCCCTCCATCATAATCCTGTCCAAAGTCCCTACCGTAGTCCTACAGTAATGAAGAGCTAAAAGTCGTGCGCCTTATACTGTAGATCTAAGCTGAAACCAGATCTGCAAATTGGTGCTTGCAAATTCTCCAAAAACTTCATGGCAAAAGAAATACCAACATCAAACCTTCAATATTACTTTTTGAGACACCCTGTATCAAATGCATTAACCACTTGCTGTGCACTATATGTAAAAATCAATGAAAACACATTTCATTTTCATTTCTAGTCGTTCGTTTTGAATTTCCCCTCAACGCAAAAAACATTATTTGCTATGTTCTAATGTTTCATTCAAGCACTGGTGGTCTTCATTTGATGATGACTATAGTAATGTGTGAAAAAAGTGAATGAGTCAGGTCCTCGAAGCTGTATATTTGATCAACGGGGCTTCAGTTGTATAGCTTATTTGGAAAAAAAATTTCGGAAGGTTACAGACTTTGCTGATGAATATTGGATCAAATTTGGGCCCAAAAACTTTTTCCTGGATGGAAGAGCGTTTTTTTTATTTACATTTTCTATACTTGGTAAGAGAGTTGATGAAGATGTTAAAGTGTGGCTGAATTCACTTACAGTCTTGTTGATCGATTTGCTCCACAAGCGTAAAGCATGCTGACGTGCATGGCACTGTGCCAATACCTAAAATCAATCAATATATTGTTGGCGTGTGTCAGCGTTGAGCATAGCTCTCTTTAGTTCAGTCTAATCCTCTGTGCTGTTTTTTTTTATTTCCCTAATTCATTATCTCTGTTACTCGAAGTGTTGAATCAATCAATATATCGATCACCTGAATCCGGTTGCCAACATCGATCAGTGAAATTTTTTGGCGGGAAATAATGATGCATCAACTGATTCCATAAGGGTAAATAGGCAAATGAGGCGCAGCTGAAAAGCGTATAATTAGATCGGAGTCGGCTAAAAAATAGCCACAAGCGCTATCCGCTCTCGGGTGCTTTGCATTTTGCTTAACAATTTGCTAGCGGTAATTTTATTAGAAGAATTCGTCAGAAAAGGGGGTGCGAAAGCTTGTGCAGGGGCTTAGGGTCTGGTAAACGTCTTGTAGGTTATGAAGACAGCGAATGGATTCTTCGAGATCGTGCAAATGATAAAAATATTTATGAAAGCGCGCGACCAAATGCCATACTTATCCTGTAAACTGGTCCAGAACAGGTTGTGGGAAGGTGGCGCAACTAAATGACGAACATTTGGCAATTGATGTCGCGGAAATCAAATACAAATGTCATGTATAAAAAAGTCAGTGAGAGTGATGGCCAACAAAAGCATCTCACATAGCCTAGATTTTCTTCATAAAGAAGAGAAAAAATACCATTCACTGCGTCCACCACGCTCATTTTCGCTTATGGGACACCAAATGTCAAATGCTCGTCGTTTAGCGCGCCGCTTCCGCTCAACAGGTTTTGAACTGATTTACAAGTTAAGTATGCCACCTCCTCAAGATTCCTCTACATCTCCAGCTCAATGATGGTTACCGTACCCTTAATTGACCTACAGTACCTGAAACAATTCGACCGCTTAGTATTATGATTTTCTGCAATCATGGCTAGTGCAATTTCGATAGACATAAGTATCAGCGCAGTCGGCCAAAGCCACATCACATGGCACGTGGACACGTCTAAAATTTTTCTATTGCTGAAAAATCGATTATCGATCGACGATTATGCTCGAATTGGAGGTCGTTGGTTAGAATAGAAAAAACGGATGAGGTTAGGTAGGGAGAGACGCTGACGTAAGGTGACATCATAGTAATAGTCTTGAAAAGAATAGAAAGGAAGCTTGACAATAATTGCGGTTTTTTGTGTGCAAATTTGTTTGGAAAGGTTGGTGCAGAAACTTCTCAGAAAGTCGAAGAAAAGTATGAAGGGGAGAACGGATTTTTATTGATTTTATCGCTAAGTGCGGGTTTCGGAAATATGTAGTAATTAAATTTTGGTTTGAAAGCATCTACAATTCTTCGTAACCTTGTATTTTGACTGGACAACAAACATTAGTTATATTAGCATGACTTGACTCAAGGGCATCTCTTTGTCTTAATTTTTTATGATCAACAAAAATCATTTTCGAAACCGAGTTGGAAAGCTAGAAGGAAGAATTCGCATTTTAAGACATTCAAAAAGACTCTCTTTTCTTACCAAGGAGATTCGGAAAATGTCTAAGTATCAAAAATCTCCATGAAAACCAAAATGAGTATGAAACAATGCCATGATTTTTTATATTATAAAGTAGCTGTCCTTTCCTTCCCTTATATATTCCCCTAGCCCCATAATCACATAATAAAAGTGTCTGGCAATCACTGCTAATATTCTACTCATTGTCACACAAAAGTATAATTAGGAAATACGTCCAATCTCATTGCTTCTTATATTGGGTGCAATTGCGTAATCGCCAGACTATTCGGCAAAGTCGTAAGGTTGTGGGACTGAATGGTTTTGGGGACTACACTAAAAGTGCATGAGAGATCAAGCGGATGTTGATTAGAGCCTTAGATTGTGAGATTGGAACAAATAAGAAAAGCTGGGAAGTGAATGGGGAGGGAAGAAAAGGAGGAGGGGGGGGGAAGGGGTAACACGAGATAGCAAAATATGGTACTAAAATGTGGCATAATTTGAGAATAAATGAATTATAGATGAGATTCAGGTTTACAAGAATAAACAAGTCTATCTCTGTTAAATACAGAATCGTATCTGCTTGCTCACGGTAACATTACTGTAGTCAAGCGAATGACAAAAGCATGAATTCAAGTAATCTAGCGTATCCACCCGATTACGGTAGTAGTACGGTAGTGGAAGTGAACAACAAAATCTATAATATTTAAGTATTTCAAAAAGAGTAGTTTTTATTGAAATGGAAATTGCTTTACAAGAAATAGTTCATACAGAATATATGCAGTATTTTTGCCCGATTATGGTAGCAATACGGTATTCATGTAAATAACAAAGATAAAAAATTCGAGTGTTCAAAAAGATTTGCTTCTATCAAGTTAGAAATTAGTTCGCAAGAAAAGGCAAGTTCTAGGATATGCATTTGGCTACCGTACTGCTACCGTATTCGCTCGTACGGTAGCAGTACGGTAGCTAAATGTGTAAGAAAATAGAGATCGAGTATTCACATAGAGCTGGTCCTAACAAGATGGAACTTTGTTTACTAGAAAAGATAACTAATCCAACGGATGAACACTACCGTATCTGCTAGATTACGGTAACAGTACAATTTCGAATGAACAACAAAACTTCAGTTGCCCCTTGAACAAATACGCGTCAAGAAAAAACATTCACAGCATCTCGCCATAGTCCCACGGGATGTTGATGTTATCACACAACCAAAACAATCAGATATGCAAAACAATCAATAAGCATTTAAACTGTGTGGCAAACATACGCATTGCGTGTAATGCTATCAATAGCGCGAGCTGCACGCTGAAACATATCATTTCGAAGCGAATTGGCTTGTTTGAGCTAATGTCGCCGAATCTTGGCGCACGTTGGTGGGCGGAGCCACGGCTATAAATGGGGCGGCACCCAGACCACGCCCCTAGTCATTAATTGCTTCAGTGTTATGTGTTGGTGAAATCTGGAAAACTGGAGGGGAAAGGGGAAGGGGGAGGGGGGGGGGGAAGAAAGGGGGTGGGGTGGAGAAAAGAAAGAAGGAAGGAGAGGTCCTTTTAATGAAATTCAAAATGAAAAGTAATCCTCAAATTAGTGATAAAAATCTCACAAAAATGAAACGAGGAGACTCGTCCAGAAAGCAAGGAACGGAGGAAAGGGAAATGATAGAGGGGGAGAACGGTGCTTGATGGCGATATGAATAAAGAAAATCCACAAACGAGTGGCTTTCTGCTCAAAATTGCGGAGCAGGAAAACTCGTCCAGAACATGAAAAAGCAGGAAGAGGAAGTAAAGGAAGTGGAACCAGTTGCCAATGACGTACTAAGTAAAAAGAAGAGCATCAAAATTAACATATGAGAAAGTCAAAACAGGAAACTCGTCCAAGGATGTTTAGTCTCATTTTTCAAATTAATGTGAGAGTCTCTATTTTTTTGCTTGTTGCGCATGGCATCAAATTACGAAAATGTTCTTTTTCTTGGTTCTTTACGAGTGTAGTTCTTTGCTCGAATTATTCTCGGGATCCTATAACTAGAGTTCCTGTAAAAAACTAAGGTGGGTGAACTCGTTCAGAAATAGCTCATTCTTACCTTTTTAATCACTAAACGAGTTTTTATCCTTTAATTGCTGCACATATCATGGGATCGCAAAGATAGAAGGTCATAATTTTCAAAAAATCTTTAGAAACTTTGTTCGAATTTTGTTGTTCTCTCATTCCCTCCTGTTTTGCATATTTTTCTCGCCCTTTGGCTACAAGTATGATGGAAAAGTAAATGACTTTATGATTTTTGTAGTCATGCATGAGACTTAAGCTCAGTCTTGATATTGTTAACTTTTTCAATTAATTTGACTTTTGGGAAAATACAAGCTGAGTAAATATCCACAAGTAAAAAGAGCAGGAAAAGAGGATAGTTTTCGAATATTAACCACTAACCACACATTTTCTGCAAGAAGATAGTAAAAATTCAGCCTGCCTTCCTCTTGTGGAGATGGTAGCTCAAAAATCTAATAAGGAAAGCAATTTTTTATACTGCGAAAAATTCGAAACTCGCATCCACGATCTTATTTTTCGTGTACTCGGATTGTTCATTTCTCCACTCCAGTATTGCTGACCTCCTACTTAACATGGCACCGAAGTCCCTGGAAAACCCCTTCTTTGAATTTTTCCATCTTTCAAAACTCAACACAACTAAGATCCTATAAAATGTATGAAAATGCAAGAATGCAAGGTTTTTATGAAGTCTAGAATAGAGACAGAAGCGAATAAATTACGTGAAATCGATGGGAGGTCTTTCTAATAAACGAATGGAAAGAACTTCTTATTTCCAAAGTTATAACTCATGTCAGCTGAGTGGTCCTCAAAGATTTTAGGAGAGGTGGGGGGGGGGAGGAGGGGGAGCGGATATATGTAACAGATTTCTGTGGATAAAAGCAATATTGAACGCCTGAGAATCTGTGGAACACTTCAATGATGAAGGAAATTATTTTCATAACTCATCTAGACCAACATACAAAAATCTCTCAGATCTAGGGGGAGGGGGGGGGGGGGGGGGAACGTCCAAAGACGGTACATCAATGTATCCAATGCCTTGATGGCAGGAGGTTTGCTTGAATGAATGTATTAGGAGAAAAGCTGTAAACAATGGGACTAGGGACTCTCATGGTTGGCCAACGGGCATAGGTGAATCTGATGAAAAATGTGCAAAACTCGATTTGATTACGGCGATGAAATTGTTGGTTGAAGAGAGTTTTATAAGATCTCACCCTGCTATTAGGCAAGAATTTCTCTTTGAGTCAAAGCTCGGAAATCTACCTAATCATTATCTTGTTCTCAGACTTTCAATGAAGTCATAAACTGAATAATTTTTTTTGTATTTTCCGTACTTTCCAGAAAAAAACGAAGCGAGTAACAATGAGTCGTGATGCGAAACAGAGTCTTTTTTATGGTATAAAAGTCACCTACTATCAAAAAGAAAATCAAAACTGGAGGTTTGTTTGTTGGAAAAGCTTAAAATTCGAAAGCGTTTTAACAGGTTCCTTCAAATTTCTGCATTTTAATTTATTTTCTTTTGTTGACTGTGCGGTTGTCGAAAAGTTTTGGAATTCGAAAAAATATCTATTTATATACAGCGTATCATACGCCTTTTTTACTTCCGATTAATCCCAAAGATTTGCCGCTGAAAAAAAAATTTAAAATAGCTAAATAAAAAAACGCAGAAATCTGACGAATCAGTAGGGAGAAAAGAGAGAAAAGAAGAAATGAAAAGTAAGAAAGTAGGGATTCGGAAAGGTCTAGAAAAATTTCAAGCATCGTCTGCCCTCCAACTATATCTTCGTACTTTTAGGCGGCAGTCAAGCGCGAGAACTCGACACTTTTCAAAGCTACCATTCAACTCCACTTCCAAAAAATTCTGCAAATTCCCGTCCTGGAGAATTCTTAAGCAGGTAGTATTCTTCTATACAAAGACTATTGCAAGCGATTTTGAGAAAAGATGACCTTTCCACATGACAGCGCAGATATAGAGTTAGATTCGTATTCATTACGACACGCATGCACATATCTGATGCCAAACACACACTGGGAAAGTTGAGGGGGGGAGGGGGGGGGGGAAGTTATTGCTCGTGTTGTATGCACCTTAGCAACGATGTGAAAACACAAAACCGGCAACGATATATGACAATATTTTGATGGGAGAATGGCAATTGAAGAGAGAAAGGTGCATGGCAGATTTTTCGAATTACTGTTTTCTCAAGGGGATGAAACAGGAAATTCAGTGCAATACACAAACTAGAAAATTTGATATGTTAATGAAGGATTTTGTATGTATGATGATAAGAAAATTGGATAGCCACAAAAAAGTTCACTTAAAACGATGCGGTCGCGACTTGCGCCCGACTTCTGCAGCAGTTACGCCACATTTCACTCGTTGATTGATATTGTTGTTGCTGTTATACTGATGGGAC